GCAGGCAATGGACAATGGCACAGCACAGCCAGAGCAGTGCATATCTGGGTGATGGGTGACTGACTGCCATGCTGGGCAGGGACAGGACGCGGTCAGCGCCATGCAAGGATGCTTGCCAAGTGATGCACATTAAAGTGCGCGCGACTTACTCCTGCAGCTTTTGCTCCAGCGACTGCACTTCGGGCCAGCGTGTGGCAGACACTTCATCGGTTGTAAGCGTGAGGAAGAACGACGGCATGCCAAAGCGGTCCACCATGCACAACAAATCTTGGAGGTTGCTGCGGTGCCATGCAGGCGTGTTGGGCAACGTTGCCGGCAGCTTGTGCTTGAGAATGTGATGGATGGCATCCTCATCACTCGCGTTAGGGTTCTGAGACTTGTAGTCGAGGAGCACCCTTTCCAGCACAGCCTGTACATGCAGGCGGGCATGATGGTCATGTCCTGAAGTTGTACATGCATGTTCCTGCTTGGCATCGGCGGGATCCGTGTCCAACATCCCAGCATGCATCGTTTGCAGCATCACTAGCATGCTCGCTATGCACTCACCTCTGTATTCTGCTCTTGCAGCCGGGCGCTTTGGCGAAGAACATACATGAGCAGCAAGTACGGCTTGCACAATGTCCACACACTGAAGAGGCACTTGGCACGGTATGCCAAGTACTTGACCAAGGTCGTGCCGCCCATAAATGCGCCAACACCAAAGGGAAACAGATAGGGGAACATGGCCATCTCCGCAGACAGGCCAAACTGATAGTCCAGTGGGGTCCCGTCCGCAGCAACAGCCAGGTTGAGCTCGGGCAGAGTGGGCGACCGCGGAACCAATGTTCCCGCGGTGTACATCACGGGTGCATGCTTCATGGCTGCACGCTGGATGGCAGGCACAACCACCGATATGAGCGAGCGAGCTGCCTCTGCTGCTTCCAGGGTGGCCAGGGCAAGTGGTTTGCAGGCTTGCTCACTGGCGACAAACGACTGCACATCAGCTGGACAAAGGTATGGCAATGGGTGATTGGGTGGGACTTGTTCAGCAACGGTAAGGAACTCCCTGACAAGCGGGTTGTGCTGCACGCTCCATCCCAGCACCTCCTGCAGTGCCGGGGGCAGCGTGTTGACGCGGCGTGTGGAGTTGCGTGCCCAATCCAGGACCAGCGCTTCCATGCAATGCTGCTGCCGAAGCTTGCCGGCAACAAATCCAAAGGCCGCTGAAAAGAAGCCAAGTCCAACATCCACTAGGTCTATCCGCAGTTGGTCAATGGCGTCCAAGGACACGATGGCCTTGGTATAGTCTGGTGGATGGAAGACCAGATACTCTGCTCGCTCATTGCCACTGTTCGCTGGATACAATGGAGCACAGTGCGGACACAGGTGCCACAGGCCTTCGGGTGTTGTTGTGCTGCCGGCATGCAAGCTGTTGTGGAATGAGTATGGCGCAATGGCAGCACCGACTGGCTCGACAGTGGCCCAGCGCTGGAGGTCCTTGTGCAGGTCGGTGCTGGTGACACCGCACATGGCGCACACCACAAGTGCACCGGCCAGCAGCATGCTTGTGACAGCGCTCCAAGCCGCGAGCCAGTCAGAGATGCCAAGTCTGTGGCCGGGGCCACTGCGCCAGGATGCTCCGAAGTACCCAGGAATGTGTTGCTCAGCATCTGTTACAGCAGGACTGGGCAATGGTCCGTCAGATGGTCGATGGTGCTGCTGGCGTGTTGGCTGTGCAGCGGCCCGGCTGCGCTGCTGTGGCTGGTGCTGCTGCTGACGCCTTTGCTGCTGCTCCTGCCGCTGCCGCTGCGGGGGCTGCTGCTGCAGCGGTGAGTGTTGCGCTGACTGCCGTGTGACTGCAAGCAGCTGCCGCACCTGAACCGCTGGTTCATGCTGATCAGCCCATTCCGCCAACACCTGCTGCACAGTGACCTCAAAGCGGCTGTCCATCGCCTGCAGGACAGCACACACTTGACCAGCCCGCTCGGCGGACGGTGTTTCTGACATGCAGAGGCCAACTGCGCGACAAGCCGCGACAAGATGCTGGCGGCGTTGCCCTGTCCACACACCCGGCACCATGTCCAGCAGGCGGTAAGGCATGGGCGCACCAGCAAGGCCCGCCTGCCGGATGAGGCACACTTCTGTTGGCGCAGAGCTGGAGCCCCAGTAGCAGATCTGCAGCCCAGCCGGGTCAAACACTGTGATCGCAATGTTGAAGGCATGGGCAAGAACCGCCAGCTCCACGTCGCCTGGCAGCAGCCGGTGCTGCTGTAGGGCTTCACCGTATTGCGTCGCCGTGCAAGTGCTGGGGAGGCTGCTGGCATGGGCGTGTAGCACTTGAAAGCGCAGTGACTCCCAAGACTCGGCAATGGCGGCCACCACGGTCGCCAGCAGAATTTCAGGCGCAGGCACATCAGTGGCGCCCGCGGCAATGAGACCATATCGCACGCAGTCCAAACACGTTGCGTGGGCATCGAGCGGCACGACAGCACAGTTGCTTATGTCGCTGCGAGCATATAGGGGCACGCGGAGTTGGCCTGCATAGCAAGCATCAGCAGGGAGCCACGTTATCAACCTTATGCGTGTGGACATGGATGTGGCTGAGAGCAGTGCCTTCAGAACAGGCCTCGCTGGATTTCTGCGATGTGCAGCATAGCATGTCACACTCCGCGGATCACATGCACACATTGGCACACGCTTACCTGTGCTGCTGGATGGCTCTGCATTCCCAACGCGAACGTCGGTTGGTTGTTCATCGATACGCATGGATGACGTGTCGGCTGTACTGGTATCGCCCACGTCACTACACACGCAGCCATCATGTGTATGCGCTACACGGACTTCAGCTGCACCCTGCGGACCTGTAGGATGGGGTATTATGCAGCAAACAGTTACACAACCATTGTAGCTGTACATGGACACGGTGGGCGCTTGAAATGGTCCTCGACATCCCACTATCCACGGTCACCATCTTAGGAAATGGCACCATGTTACAATATGGGTTTCTGAATAGAGGGCGGACTAATGCGGGCAGGTGCTTGATGAGCGGTCCTTCCATATACCACTGCCATAACCACAAGTATGCCGCCCCTTAGTCTGGCCTCACCACGTAAACGCTGACAGACATGACTTACGTTCTGAAACGAGGCGGAGTAATGCGGGCTAGTTTAGACGACAGGTCGTGCGCCAGTACCACGGCCATGGCCCGAGCTATGCCACTCCTTGTTTCTTGCCTTACCTCGTAAACGCAGACCGACACCCGTTGACCAGAAGTGCGCCACGTTTTCATCTGCGGGTGCACATGCTTGCTTTGTGGACTGGTGTAATGCGACCCAACTTCAATTTGTGCTCGGCAAGCGCGCCACTGCGTACCGGATATGTTCGCGATGTTGCAGAGACGCTGCACCTCGGCTTCCGTGCGCAATGCGTAAGATGTTTGACCCCGCCGACCAAAACTGCACGTGCCCAACTGAAGAAAGTTACGGTGGTTGTCCAGCAGCTTCTGAGCCTGCTGCTTGCTGAGGTCCTTCCGGAGCTGCTGCAACACGGCTAACGCAGGAGCGGCCATATGCACAGAAAAAACCTGCTCCAAGTTTCCTGCGGCGTCCATTTCAGTTACACAGCTGTGACCGATTTTCCAGTTCTTATGTTTAATTTTGTGTATGCTATCTTTAATTTGCGACAGTTTGTATTTTGACTTCAGACGAAAAAAGATGCTGTTTGCGTATGTAAGCAGGCGCCACGTCTTTTCGAAAAGTGCCGCTTCGCCAGGCGCTTCATCTTCCGCGGCCATTCCATGCGCGCGTGTTCATACCAAGTTATATGCTTTCAGTTACGTCAAGACAGCCATACATTCCTACGGTCCTGCTTGCCGCGTGCAACTGTGGCCAACATGCTGCCGCACAAGCGCGCTGACACACCACGACTTTTCGCCAAGAAAATTTACATACACTTGTACAGGCGCATTTTTCGAAACGCACGTGCGCATCCGCGAGGCAAAATTCGCTCCTGGCTTTGGGGACGAAGTACGGAGGGTCTATTCGGCAGAGTACGACCGCTCACATTTGTGCGAGGGGCTGCTTAACTACTTTCGAAAGTTTTTGCAGGGCTATTCGCAGATGGTCGCTCCCCTTACGTCCCTTCTGTCGTCCAAAGCTCGCTGGCCTGAGGACTGGGAC